GGACTCCCACATGGCCAACCATGGTTCAAGTTCTGAATCCGGTGGCTTAAAATGCATGCCGACACATGTGTGTGCATTCCCAAGATCCCAGGAGGAGAATGGAGGAGAAGGGATTGCAGCATGATCATTTCCCCTAAGGGGTGATTTCTCACTTTCTCTCTTACCGTCTCTGTCTCTGTCTCTCTCCAGCATGCGCAGAACCCCTAAGGCAAAAATCTCTTTAAAAAAAGAAAAAAGAAAAGAATAGTGCAAGATTCAGAAGAGGAGACACCTTGTCTATCTAGCATGTCTGGTACACTGGAGATACTCAATAGGTAATTGTTGGATGAAGGCATGTTTGAAAGGCAGGAATGGAACCTAAGGTGGAAATTACAGCTATCACATACTGCGACCCTGCTGTGTGTAGCTTTGTGCCAGACGCTTTATATAATTATTTCATTTGGTTATTCAAATCCAATTAGGTATTGTATCAGTTATCTGTTGCTGCTTAACAAACTAGCCAGGGTCTTGGTTGCTTATAGCAGCATTAGTGAGCTCACGATTCTGTGGACTGGCAGTTTGGACTGAGCCCAACTGGGCTTATTGATGTCTTCATCTTCAGATGGGACAGTGGGGACACCTGGGCCAGGTGGCTCCGCATCTAGCAAGGTGGCACAGGCTTGTTCACATGCTGGCAGTCACGACGTTCCAAGAGCAACAGGAGCAAGCCCTGCTGCACAAGCACTTGGCGCCACCTCTTCCTGGGTCGTGGTCGCAGTGTTCCATAGACCACGGTAACTCCACGGCCAGCCCAGAATCACTGTGAGGGTATTACCAAAGGGTGTGGATCCAGGGAGAGGAACAATTTATAGCTAGTTTGTAATCTACCAGAGGCATTATTGTCTGCAATACGCATGTAGAAATTGAAGCTTAAAGAACTGTCTCTACTTGCCTGGATCTACTGGCACAGCTCAGAGGTGAAACCCAGATCTGTCTGACCCAAAACCCACAACAAGCCATGGTGAGGTACTACAGCCTGTCTAGTGAACCAGGTTGGAAAGGGCTGCCTTAGAGGACTAAGTTTCCCCCCGTCCTGGCAGAGGCTGAGTGGCCACCTCCCTGGACTGCTCAGACCCACCTGACACTCCTAGAATTCCTCCCAGCCCTGGTCTCCGGTTTCTGACTTGGCCATCTGCCTGCCCCAGCTTCTTTGCAACTCAGAGACTGTGTAAGGTTCCCTGTGTCTGGATGGGACTTCTGGAATAACACTGTTTCTAGGTTCTGCCAGGCATATCTCCAGCCATTCCTGACCCTTTGGCCTCCCTTTCTAGAACGAAGCAGTGTTGTACTCGGTGGGGAAACAGAAGCAAGCATGGGATAGAGTCAAGGCCCCTGGGTTCTGATGTTAGCTCTTCCATCATCCCACCCTGTACTCTTTTTTTAAAAAAATGAGTTATTTTATTTAACTTTATTTATTCATTTATTTCATATTAATTTGAGATATTAATTTGACCAGAGAGGAACAGAGTGAGAGCGAGAGCAAGAGAGAGAGAGAGCTAGCTACCAGGTCCAGGCTCAAACCGTAGTCAGCCATGTGGCAGTCCAGCTCCCTTAACCACTATGCCGCCTGCCTGCCCCACTCACTCTGTACTCTTGAACATGTCATGCCTCTTTTCTGAAGCTTAGCTCTTTTATATAATCAGACTAAAAAAAAGAATCTTTAAGATTCTTTCCAAACTGGCTATTATGTGACTTCAGAATTAATCTTTGTCTCGAAGTACTTTCCATTAGCCGCATCCCTGCCATGCCCAGCTACTCTGTCTTCCCATCTAGGAGGCTGGAGAAAGACCTGCATTACTCAACAGGACATGCACGGGTATAGGCCTTAGGGAGCAGGTGTGGAGGGAGACAACTTTGAGAAGGAACAGGAGGATAGTGGATCTTTGAGCCAGACCCCAGGAGGGACTGAAGAGGGGAAAGGAATGAAGAGAAGATGACACCAGAGAAAAAGCACATTCATTTTTGGGGAAACAGGCAATGAGGGGTTGATATCAAGGATATCGTTTTCAGCCTAACACTCTTCCATAGTGAATGATGATTCTCGGCTTTGGAGTCAACAGACCTGGGTACGAATCCACCTCCCCTGCTTCATAGCTGTGTGGCTCAGAGGAAGTCACTTTTGCAGCCTGAGTTTCCTCACTTGTGAAGGATGTGAGAGTCTAATTTTACAGAGCTACTGTGAACATCAAATGTGGTAACAGCCACGAGGGCAGCACACTGCAGAGCGGCAGGTAAATAGTAGGGTTGATTAGATCATTGTCACATTTTTTTTTAATATTATTTTCACCGTTATAAACTTCAGTTTGGTACTGTTGTTCAAGTCCTGCTGGTTCTAGGAGCAAGAAACTAGAGAGATTGGGGCTGGTGACAGAGACCAGAAGTGACTGGTTCTTATTCACTGGCCAGTGTTCCACAGAAAGACATTTGGTACCATGGTTTTCACCTCAACACCTTTCTCCTGAGAGCCTTAAGCATTTAGTCTCTGTTCTTATAAACTCGTAACAGAACTTGGAAGAGGGCTGCACCAGGTTGGGCTTCGCCCTACTGGGGACACTCAGACACAGAGTCAAAATCCCAGTCCCTGGAAGAATCCAGAACAAAGCCGTTTTCGCTGCATGCCCAGTTAAACACTCATCCTACCCACCCCGCACCCCCCACCACTCAGTAGCTCCCATGTCTACAGATTAGAAATTATTCTTGCCCTTAGCTCTCCAGTTCTCAAAGAATTAGTCCAAGTGACTCTCCCATGAAGTACAGCACCCCCCCATTTTGCAGAAGATGAAATTGAGGTGCAGGGCAGATGATTCAAAGTCCCAGATCCTCAGAGCCCAGAAGAAAGCCACACCCTACAGTGGAGGCCAAACCCTAAATTCAGAAAGATTAGGTACTGTGGAAAATGTCATGCTGCTTTTAAAAATGACTCTGGTCCATGTGATTAGGAAGCACCACAAAGGAGGAGAGAGGGAGGGCATTTTAGCCTGGAAATACCTTAATCCTCTCTATCGAAAGAGGAAGCAAATCTGAGGAACACCAATTCACAGAATGACTGAGAGAAAACTCTGGAAGTCCATCAAGAACCCATTGAAACCCATTTTCTTTTGTTGAGAAGCATGGAAATTCATGGAATCTATCTCCTGGTTATTGTTTGAATAAAGTGGGCATTCTGGCCAGGAGACTGCTGATTATGTACCTCTTGCTGGGTAAGGGAAAAAAAACTGAAATAGGCTTTTGCTATTTCTTAACCATAGATCTTATGTACCAGGCACTTCTGATCCCTTTGGGGGGAAAAAAAAAAAAAGTATCTTTATAGATTTCCCTTCAACATTTTTGCAGAACTCTCTCTGTTGGAAACACCTTTTGTTTTTCCAGTGGACTGTGTCCCTCTCATAGGCTCAGGGTCTCTAAGATAACCTTGCAAGGTTGGCTGGGACTGTGCGACAACAAGGCTGAGGAAAAGTCAGAGACCCTGTCACCCCAGGCACGCTATCTCCACCTCCCACATGCTTTTCTGTTCCCTTTGGCAAACACCCAGTATTTTTCTCACCAAATGCAAAGCTCTTTCAGGGGCATCTGACTATCTCTGTCTGATCTTAAAGTCTAAGGGACAAAGCTGACCGAATATCCAGAGCTTCAATTCCTTCATCAAAAAATGAGGAAAATGGCAGCTAACACTCAAGGTTGTTGGGATAAATCTGGAAAGCACCTGGCATATCATATGAGTCCTTAATTGTACTTGTTATTACTCTTATTTTTACTGCTTTTATTTTTATTTTTATTTATTTATTTTTTTTAAGATCCTTGCCATAGGGTGTATGCACTGGTCAGATAGAGACAGGCAAAGTGAGAAATTCCCCTTTAGGGGGGATGGCCATGCCACAGTTCCTTTTCTTCCATTCTCTTCTCGGGACCTTGGGCATGCACACACAAACACCTGACATTATTTTCAAGCCCCCGGGTCCAGGATTCAAACCATGGACTTGGCCCTATGGGATCTAGCCTCTTAACTACCACACCGCCTCCTGGTCCTTTTTAAAAATGTATGTTATTTATTTCTTCCATGAGAAAGAGAGAGACAGAGGAGATCGCACCAACAGATTCTTGACCCTGCAACCACCTCCAGCCTCAGCCAGTCAGATCATGGGTACCTGCCCCCGGTACTCAGGGAGGTCTCTGGATTCAAAACCAGAAGCATCCCCATGTGGAAAACCCTATTTTCCTGCCTGAGCCACAGTCCAGCCCCATCGTGGCCTGTTTTAATACTCCTTGTGACTTACTTGCCTCAGCTTGTCTTAATCTTTTGGGACCCATTACAGCTTAGGAGATGGGTAGAGCTGGTTTATACTTTTTTTCTTCTTCGTCGTCTTTTTTTTTTTTTTTTCCTCTTTACATTTTTGCCATAAAGCGTGTGTACTTGCAAGAGAAACAGAGACAGAAAGAAGGAAAGTGAGAAATTACCCCCAGGGGGACGGCCATGCCACAATCCCTTCTCCTCCATTTTCTCGGGCTTTTGGGCACACACAGCCTGATTTTCAAGCTGCCAGGTCTGGAATATGAGCCATGGTCAGCCAAATGGGAATTCAGTGCCGTTATTAACCACCACACCACCTGCTGGCCCCAAGCTGTTTTATCCTTTTGCCAAGAGAAAAGAAGTAGAGAAGTTTGGGACTGGAAGGAGAGCTTCCAATCATTTAGCATAATCACGCCTCCTGCAAACCCTGAGGCTTACAGGGGACATGACTGGAGATATCGTGCCGTTCTGTAGGAAGCAGAGAAAGCAAACCAGCTGGGTAAGGTTTTCCTGCCTGTTTTACAAGCGAAGGATCAAGTGAGTCATGCAGAGCAAGGCCTCGGACCTGCAGCTGGTTGGCTGAGTGTCATGGAGGCAGAGGCCCGCAGGAGGCAGGATGATGCACCCCACAGAGGGCTCAGGTGCCTTGGCTCACTTCCCCTGTCTCTTCCAGGCTCCAGATGCTGGAGGCCATCTGCAAGCACTGGGAGGGGCCCATCAGCCTGGCCCTCTACCTGTCGGACGCTGAGGCCCAGCAGTTCCTCCGCTACGCCCAGGGCTCCGAGGTGCTCATGAGCCGCCACAACGTGGGCTACCACATCGTGTACAAGGAGGGCCAGTTCTACCCCGTGAATCTGCTGCGCAACGTTGCCATGAAGCACATCAGCACGCCCTACATGTTCCTGTCCGACATCGACTTCCTGCCCATGTACGGGCTCTATGAGTACCTCAGGTAAGGACTGAGGGGCGGCTGCTGCCCCAGCTCCCTGGCCGGAAGGCACCTGGGACCAGCAGGGCTGAGGACCGTCATCTGCCCTGGCACTTCCTTTTATAGATGGGGCAGCTGAGACCTAAAATGGGGAGGGGCCCCTCCACACCCACCCACCAACAGATCCCGTTGCCAGGTTTGGAAGGGGCATTAGGCAGTCTGGCATCTTCGTGCTCAGGAGAGACTAGAACCTGAGTTTGCCCAAGGAAATAAATGTTCGTGGCAGAACTTGGTCTAGGAAGCATCTCTTTTTGTCTCCCAGTCTAATGCTCTTCCTGTCGTATCTGTGAAAACATCCTGTCCCTCTTCCAACTTTGGCTCAGACAGATCACTGCCTGCCGTTTGAAATGAATCTAAGTGATGGTGATGCCAGCACGTGTGGAAGTGTGTGCTGTGAGCCCGGCCCGGTTCTGAGTTCTTGACCTGGAGGATCTCGTTCCCTCCCCTGCAGTCCTGCCAGGGGCAGTGTCATTATCTTCATTTTCCAAATGGGAAACTCCAGGAACAAAGAAGCACATGCCAATGGTCAAGGTTAAGGGGGCGCCGGGTCAAAGCGTAGCCAGTCTCACCCTGGAGCCGTGTGCTTGATCCCCGTAAGACCCTCTGTGACTCACTAATGTCCATTCCAGCTCTCCCCACCAGCGGGCCAGGCATCCAGCGATGGAGAGCACTCTCAGCTGATGAAAGGCTTAGATGGCTGTGCAAGGAGTGCGTTTATTATAGAGTAATGAATGATCTAGGGTGAAGGACTGTACGATAGACCTTATGTAGCCCCAAGGTGCCATTTTACACCTGAGAAAACTAAAGTCACAAGGTGTAAGAAGCTTTATTTACTGACATTTGTCAGTGTGAATTGCCTCCACTGCCAAGTGAGTGTTTTCTTCTGGACCCAAGTACCACGAGAGGGGGCTTCTTGAGCATATTACTTGATTGGATCCGCACGTCCAGGCCCCAAGCATGCAGGGTTCCCCGGTTAACAGTGAGGAATAGTGAGGCTCCAGGAAGCAAAATCACCTACTCAAGTTTGAGAGCTCGTGCCAGGATTTGAGCCACTGTCTGTCGGACTCTGGGTCTGCAGCCACGTGCCTCATACCTGTGGGACTGCTGTGGTATCTGCCACTGTCCCAGCCAGGGCAGGATCTTGTCCTCTTGCTAGCCTCCCTCCATGCCTCCCTCTGTCTCTCTGTCTCTGCCTCCCAGTATCTTTCTCCACCTTACTGTCTCTCTCTGTCCCTCATTTTCTCTCTGTGTCCCAAGAGCCTTTAAGCCCTTTGGTCTGAAGCTGAAGCCCAGATTTAGGGTGAGCATCCTCCCCACCTTTTGCTCTCTAGGGCAAGGGAAGGTAGCCAGCATTTGCTGTCCCGCTTCTGAATGGAGTTTCCTTCCAAGAGTATGTTGGTGTTCCTAGCCTTAATCTGGCCCCCGTGAGCAGGGAAGCAGGGAGGAGCCCCCACCAGCCTCATAATGGTGATACCCATGGGGTGAGCACTCAGTCATGGAGGAGGGGCAGTGCTGAACACAGTGAACCCCTACTCCTGACTACCAAGCTCCAGGAAGGGAGCTTTCCTCCAGCCTGTGCTGGGTCTTGGAAATCCAGTGTGTGGGGCAAGAGCACCCCCGTGTGGCCAGACAAGGCTTTCAGCACCTGATTTTTGTAGATTCTCAACCCTTGGCAGTTTAAGGGATTACAGGCTCCCAGAGGATCAGATAGATGGCGGAGTTGAGGGCCACCCCTGACCTTTCTCGATGCTTTGAGGGCTCGTCTCAGATGCAGCTGAAGTGCCTTCACTCCCAACTAGTTGAAAGTGAGCCACCCCCATCATAAGTCTGACTGCTACTCTCCCGATCCAACGACTGTTTCATTATTTACGTCATAGGCATCACATTTTAAAAAGCGACGCACTGGGAAAATTCATCGTGTGTGCTATAAAGGTATACAGTGGCTGAATGTTACAAAAATAAAAAGGAAAGAACACTGTTTTTTAGAAAAAGCAATACCCAGGAGCAGACTTTGTTTTTCTGTTGTCGTCCTGTGTCTTACGGACCAAGGACGTCAGTAACTGCTGACCAGGACCTGCTCAGTGGCAGGTGGCTGGCGTTGCCCACTAATTAGCGCTCTGCTTCATGCACAGCCACGCCAGTTGTCGTCAGCCTTAGCACAGGAAGGTATGTAGTTCCCTTGGGGATTTTGAAATGTCACAAATTGCTCCTCAGACTCCCTACTCTCATTGCAGACCTTGCCCTGGAGTGCTGAGTACAGTTCAGTAGGAAGACCGCGGCCCCCTCAGGGAGTCATGTTGCCTTTCCACTCTTGCTGTGGAATCATTGCTCTGGGCCCAGCAGGTGGGCAGAAGTAAGGTTCTTAGATCTTCATATTTTCCAAGAGGAGCTGGAAATCTAGATATTTATAAAAAATGCTTTTTTGAATGTTGGCAGCTAATTAATTTTTTTAAAACACCAAACATGTGTTCAGGCTGCCTTGACCCCTCTCACCTTCATCCCAGACCGCCAGCTTGTAACCTCTGTCCTAGGCACCAGGGTCTTGAGGACCAGTCATGAAGCCCCAAATAAGTATGCACTGTCCTTTTTATATGAAAGTGACCAGACTGACTTGCCTCTGACTTGAGGAACATGCTTCTTAGTGAGGGAGATGGAATTGTTTCTGAGCCAGACATTATGCGTGAATTAAACCTCATGACCAGTGTGCTTTGTCCTCCTAGAGACCAACAACTTTAGCCTTGCTGATGCTCTACCCAGGCTCTGTTACAGTGTTAATATTACAAAATGATGATACTTACCGTCTATGGTGCCCTACCAGGTGCCAGAAACCCTGCAGCTACTTTGTGTTCTTTACCCCTCTTCTTCACTCTTCTCTGTGATGCAAATATTACTACAGGTGGCCAAACGGAGATGCCACCCCCAAGATTTAAATGTACAGTCAGAGGAGGGAGGTGGCTTTCTGACTACAATAGCCACTCGCTCTGTCAAAGGGGCCAGATCATTCTCCTATCCCAGGATACCAAAACAGGATGATTGGAAACCCTCTGATTACACCCCAAAACACATACTCATATCACCCTTTTTAGGGTCCTGCTTAGTTACCACAAAAGTTCAGTGTCTTAGTTCTCTGAGCAGTTGCTTAGCAACCATGTAACATTCCAGCAAACACTGATCATTTGGAAAATGATGACTCACTTATATGCATGGATATAGCTAAAAAATTTTACTAAAATCTCTCTTAGTCCTTTACCTGTTTCTCCTAAAGAGTGAGCTTGTAGATAGGCAGCCTTCCCTCTTGATCTCAGAAATATCAGATGGCATTCTGTGGGTCACAGGAGGCCCCTGGTAGACCTGCATCTGAACCAGCTTCTGCAACACTTGCCAAGTATGTGACTTGACACAGGGTTGATTCGTGTTAATAAAGAGGCTAACCGTAGCCTCTTGGAGTGTTATCATAGTTGTTAAACAGGAGTTCCTTTCCAGTCTCTTGGCCTAGTCACAGTAGGAGGTATTGGGCCTCTGAGCGGGACCTCCCATAACCCCTGCCATTGCAATCTCTGCTGCCATCAGTACAGGTGCTGTGGTTTGAATGTGCCCCCCACTGAGTTCATTTGTTGGACTCAAAACCCCCAATGAAATAGCATTGAAAGGTGAGACTTTACAGGTGATTAAGACTTGAGAGCAGAGCTCTAGTGAATGGACTGCCTCAGGAATGGGTTAGTTATCACAGAAGTAGGGTCCCAAAAGCAACCTAAGTTTGGCCCCCTTCCTCTTGCACACACTTGGTCCCCTACCTCCTACCGTGGATGATGCAGCAGGAAGGCCCTCTCCAGATGCAGCTGCTGGGCCTTGCACTCCCCAACCCCTAGAACTGTAAGAAAGAAGTCTCTGTTCTTTATAAATGACCTAGTCTCAGGTATTCTGTTAGAGCAGCACAAAATGGACCAAAACATTGGCTCGCTTTATACAGCCATCTCAACTTTTTCTCTTACTGAAATGAGAAACTATATCTGCATTTATTCAAAAAGGTTTTAGTGCACATTAGCTATGTGCTAAGGTAACAGTGCTGTCCTGGGGTTATTCAGACCTTTATCTCAGTGCTGAGCGCTCCTCTCTCAGCATTTGCTTAGCCTCAGGAGAGGTACTTGACCTCTTTGACTTCATCTGTGAAATAGGGATCATACTGTTTCTTCCCTTCTTGGGGAGATTAAATGTCAATGGATTTGGAAGCACCTAAGAGTGCATGTCTGCTGTAGCCAGGCAATGTTTTAGGTGCTTCGGCCATTGCAGTGAACAGAACGGGAAGTTTACACCCCGTGGGTTTACACTCCATCTGTTTGTGCTGCTACTGCCGCTGTTATCACTACAGATACAGAGATAAAAGATACAGGAGCTTTGACACACAGGCAGATGGCAATGGGCAGGGAGACCTTGAAAAGAAGTGCTAGCTGAGATTAGTCTTGAAGACGACTAAGTGTAACAGGACAAAACATCATGGCATATGTTCAAAGGATTCTGAAACTGTGTCTGTGGCTACACTTGGGAATGGCAGCGGTGTCACAGGTGGGACACCCACACAGCTTCCTGCCGCTAGTACTTTCCACAGCCATGAGACTGGGGCCGGTGTCTTGGCCCTGTCATTAACCCTACAAACTCCTTATCTTTGTTTAAGACCTAACCCTTAAAATGTCTCTGTTGTCCTTGTTGCATTTGCTTCCCAGGGGACAGAGGTGCCACACTGGGTGGAGACTGTCTTGAGATGTATAGGAATGGCAAATCAGTTTTATTCTGTTCCCCCTGGGGGATGTCTAACCTTCCCTCATCACATTGTCCTGGCACATAATGGCTATTCTGAAAATACTGGTGGAATGAGTGCAGAAATTTGAACAAAGCCAAGTAGAGGTGGCACCAAGCAAAGCCTGGCTGCCTACCAAGAGACATTATCAGGTGGCATTTCCTTGGGT